TTTTATCACTCAGAGCACAGGCAAACAAACCTCTTTATGGTTGCCATGTGAAGGTTCCTTCTTCTTCCTAATTCACAACTTCACTGAAGGTATGCATTTTGAGCTGGTCTTGACTTTATGCATAGACCTCAGTTCCAATACTCTGCCTTGTGTGGACACAAGGTTACCAAGACAAAACCTCTCTCATTCTATCCCAGCTAGGGCATTTGCAATATCAAATTAGTTTCTGAGTTCTCGTTTCCTTTTCAATTTTTTCCATTTCTTTTCTAAGAAATAAAAGAACAAGAAAGAAAACAATGAGATGGTTTTGTCTAAACAATAATCATGTTTAGATGGTTCGAGGTCGAAGATTTTCAGGTTCCCCAAAGCACAAATATCAACTCCTCTTTCTTAAAGAACATGTTTTCCATAATGTAAATAATCAGATGAGAACAAGAATGCCCCTTTATTTTAACTGGGTCATTTCTATCTTTGCAAACTTTAAACTTTAGTGATAATTGTCCTCATTGACTTCTTTTTTATATTTTTAATTTTTATTTGTTCTCATCAAGTTATACGTGACAGAGAGTGCTCTTTGATTCATTGTACACAAATGGAGCACAATTTTTCACTTCTCTGGTTGTACATGAAGTAGAGTCAGACCATTCGTGCAATCATACACGTACCTAGGGTAACAATGTCTTTCTCATTCCACCACATTTACTGATCTTATCTTTTATCCAAGTTGTTTTGTTTGTGGGTATCCAAACAAACAGAATTTGGAACAAAAATACAGTTGGGTAAGAGTCAGGTAGGATGGGCTGGGGCTTATATCAAGAACACAGAAGCATCTTAAAGACATGGAAGAGAAGGAGCAGTTGAGTTCCCAGATGACCTGGAGAGTGGGCAGGTGTCTAAGCAAGGCTTTCTCAGGATGTCTGGCCTTACCTCTCTCTGCACATCTGTCTTATTCCTTTCCACCTTCCTTCAAGTTGGCTTTTCCTGCCCCACATGCACACCGCCACATATGGCTATACTTCACTGATTGTCCAAGGGACCAGCTCAGATCAAATCTCTTGGTCTCCTTTCTCTACACCGGAGGAGAGGGTCATATTAACCCTCCTGGTTTCTAGGTCTGTTTTTGTTCTTTCACCTATGGATAAGGGAGCAGGGCCAAATCAAATAAACACCCTTTTTTGGAACATACTTCTGCATCAGGCATGGCTGAAGAACAGGATGACAGAGTTGGGAGGGCACCCTTCAAAATAATTCCTACATCTTTAAGCAGAATCATCAGCCTTTTCATCATTTCTCACAGATTCACCAGGAGTTTGATAGATAACAACAATGCAGAGAGGTAGAGAGGGGTTTTAGCAGATGCTGTGAACCCCGTATTATAGTGGGACATTTCCACTTCAGAGAAATAATGATCCTGAAACAGAAATGGAGAGCTAGCAGAAAGTTGACCCCCAACTCTTACCTTGTCTAGACGACACAGGTGAGTGGGAGAAGAGCCCTGCGTGAGAGGACTACAGAGGAAGCTTTGGCCTCTGGGGGAATCAGGGTTTTCATTAGAACCCAGAGAAGGAGAGCTCTGGGGATGAAGTTGAGCATATCAAATTTTTTTTAAGCAATTCAGTAGGTCTGGATTGGGAAAGAGTGCACAGTAGATCACCTGGAAGTTGTGATGGGAGGTGTAGAGTTGGGTTGGGGGAATCAGCAGGTGCATATGGGCCAAGCGGAGTAGCAAGGGAGGGAGGAACATACAGAGGAGGGATGCTCCTTGACGGATCTGGCCATAGTGTGCCAGGTGACTTGGCTGCATTTTCTTTGAGCATCTCTTTTACTTTCTACTTCTTTTTTTTCTTCCTACTCTGTTCTCTCAGTTTGCATCAATCCATCTTTAAATATCCAGCTCAAATTGCATTTTGCTTTCTACACCTTCCTCCTATACAGTGATACTCCTCCCTCCTGTGGTCCTGCCAGTCTACACTATTCATTCACTGTTGACCATGGACCTCTGACTTCATCATTAGCTCCCCATGGCTCAGGACCGGCTTTAGCAATAGGATCGGAAGTCCTGAGGGAGGAACATTCCTTGTACTTCTTTGTTTCTGCTGCAGCATAGTAGAGTGACCCTCACATAGTAGGTATTCAGTATGACCTTCAGTAAATCACTTGGTGACATTCAGTTTATCTAATCTAACATCAATTCTCCATTCACTTACTGTGTCTTTTGACAGGCAGTTCTTGAGCACCTACTCTGTGTAAGCACAGGTTCATAGAACAAAAGCTTGTTAGCACAATTATTAGAAGCATAAAATAATAGACATGAATAAAATGCCATGAATAGCGGGAAGCACTTACACAGGAAAGACGTTATTTAAACATTCATATTTAGACATTGGAACATTAACTAAATTATTTCATAAGCTCCCTCCTGAGTTCCTAGAGTACTCTGAGCATACAGTACCTATATTATAGCACTTACCACATTGTACTACAGTTATTTGTGTATGTTTCCATCTCTGCCCCAGACTGTGAGCTTCAACACTGAATCCTCAGCACTTAGCACAGTGCCTGCCGCATAATGGGCCTCAGTAAATAGTTTAAATAAATTAGTGAATGAAAGAAAGTCAGCATCCAAGGGTTCTCAGCCTACAAAAAAATGTGTTCAGACAATAAGCACACTGATGAAAATTCTGTCCAAAGAATCACATGGAGAGGGTTATAAGTGAAAAAATAAAAATAAAACATAGATTTTTGCCCTGAAGGAGTTTATAAATGAAACTTGGAAGCAGAGCACAGGCATAGGAAAATGCCTTAAGATGATTTATCAAATTACCTAAAAGCAGTTGCATTTTCAAACTTTGACACAGACATTGATGGATTACAGAAGAGCCATAGGGGCAAGAGGGGTTAATCGGGGGGAGCTTCTTGGAGAAATGGAATGATCTGGGAGGCACTGAAGGATAAACAAAATTCACAGGGTTTGCCCCTCTGTGGATGGAGGAGGGGAGTGGGCCACTGGCTATTTACTAGGGTACTCAAGAGCTTTGACTCACGATGCTGGTAGATGTGCAAATGTTCCACACCTCTGTTGGTGACACACATTCAACACACACACACACACACACACACACACACACACACACACACCATGCACGTTCTCTCTGTGGCTAGGGGAGGGGTATGAGCCTTCAGTGTTTCCCCTCTCTAGAGAAAAATCCTCTCTCCTCAAGTACTTCTTCGCTGGCTTTCACATTGACCCTTTGAAGGTATCATCTCAGCTCTCTCTCCCAGGACTGGGCCTGCTCCGCAAGTGCCCCCATTTCCAGGATGTAACACAGAACTCGACCAATTACGATTCTTTGTTCCAATCCCTTTGATTATCTTAGAAACAGGTTACTGAGTAGGTCAGCAGGGGGCAGAGCCAGGGCAACAATTGTTTATCTGTCTCCAGGTTGGAGTTGGAAAGCACAGACACCTGCTGTTGGGATGACTGTGCTGGGTGAGTGATAAGGAGACTCACTGCCTCACCCATGATCTGATCTCCTCAAACAACATCCAGAAATATGGCCTCAAACTCGCCCTATGATAGAAATTCTGCGTTCATTGACTCCACAAATATTTATCTTACTATGATGTGCTGGGAATGTAGCCGCAAACTAGAGAAACCAGGTTACTTGTTTCATGAAGATCATATTTAAGTGAAAAAAAAAAGGAAAATCAGAAAATTTGTTTTCTACAAGATAATGTCTAGATACTAGGAGGAAAATAAACAGTGATGTCTTAAGAGGGCTCAGGGAAGATCTCTCCCTAGAGGTGAAGTATTTGAGACAATTCCAGAAGAAAATAAGGAACCAGCCACATGGAGAAATAAGGGAAAGGTAATCCAGGCAGAGAGAACTGTGAGTTCCAGGGTGCTGAGGCAGGGACAAGGATCAGATAGATGTGCACTGGGCCATGCTCAATTCTCACACACAGACACATGCACTCACAGCTCCCACACATAGCCCTGAGCATAGGGAGTGAAGGGCAGTGGGGAAGGAGAATGAAGACAGAAGGCAGGTGGTGGGCTGGGGATGTGGCTCAGAGGCAGTGCTCACCTAACCTGTGCAAGACCCTGGGATCCATCTCCAGCACCCCCTGCCCTGCCTCTGTCAAAAAAGCCAGAAGACAGCAATGTCAGATCATGCATCTTAGTCGTCTCTGGTAATACGTTGAGATTTTTTTTTTTTCTGAGTGCAACAGGAAGCCACTGAACCCTCAGAGCAGGGGAATGATGTGACACTTGTCCCCCACCCCTCACACATGACGTCCAGGAAAATCCTCAGATCTGACCACCTCTTGGGATGCACAAAGTCTTAAGGGTACTGAACTCCCCATGTGACCCTGAACCATTCACCTCTCCTGAAACATGAAACTTGCCATATGCAGAGAGATTGACCTTCCTCTTTGAGAGTTGCTTTAAGATATGTCAAACTGAAAACCCCACAAAGTTAACTTTACCTTTTTTTTTCACTCACTCATTTATTTTTATGTTTTATTTTTGGTGCTTTATAGATATACATAAAGGTGGGATCCAATGTGGTATTTTTATACATGCACATAGCATAGTTCTCTTTTATGGACTCCTTTAAAAGCTCAAAATGACGAATAGATAGAAGACAGTTAAAAACTTATCAGACAGAGTTTACCAAAAATTATTGACACTACCTTGAAGTTATTCCAACACACCAGGGCTTCTTCCAGGTGAAAAGTGTCATCACCAGCGTCTTGTTTTGTTGGTGTTTCTGACTGCTTTCCCTCTGGAATTTTTCCATTTATCTAGCCCAACCTCTGTCCCTTATGACTTAGCCCAATTTTCCCCCACAAACATAGGAAGTTGGATGTCGAAAGCCGCCTAGAGAACAGTCCGTCCATCTGCTCAGTTTATAGATGAGCAAACTGAGATTCAGAGAGGGGAAGTGACTTGGTAAAAACCACACAATCCTCACCCCCAGCCTGTCTCCTTCCAGGGTATGTGCCTGGCCTGAAGAGGGACACATGAGGTAAACAGACTGGCATGGAGGTTCAGAAAGTCCCCCATGTTACATGGCCAGTGAAAAGCTCCCAGAGAAGAGTCTGGAAAATGGAAGGGGGATGACGGTGAATCACAGGAAATCTCCTCGAGCTCCAGAACTGGTGACCCAGAACCTCCCCGAGTAAGTGTGGGGTAGGGAGCCACTGCAGGGGTGAAAACCTCATTGGTGTTTTCGTATCTGCAGGAGGTTCCAGGAGAAATATTGGGGGGCAGGGGAAGGGCATTGACAGCCAGGGCTTGTTCCTAATTCACAGGGACCAGGTTTGCTCACCTGGGGGCCAGGGAAGACAGGTGCAGGGGCACAGGTGGGCCAGTTCTCTTTGAGGGGTGAAAGGGATGGGCCCTGGTAATACAATATCCTCTTGGTGCCACAAAGCACTCCAGCCCCCATCCATCACTGCAAATGAACCAGGTGACAGGATTAAATATCCCCTAATTGCAGTCCCCCGGGAGGGGCCACGCCAGCTGTCTCTTCCACATGCCTCGCCCAGCAGATGGGGGATCAGATATCAAAAGGTCACGGGAGGCAGCCTGGGTCCTGGCCACCTGGGCTGAGTGGAAGGAGGAACTGAGGGAAGATTAGGGTTCTCTGTTGGGTCTGAAAACCCATCAGTATTTGGTCCTGGCTCCCCCCTGGCTTCCTCGTGGTAAGGTCTGCATAAATTGTTCTCCTTATCTGTCAGAACAGGATCTGGGCCCCGGTGCTCTGAATCTTGCTCCCAGAAATGGATTTATGTCACACAAAACCAGATATACCCCAGGGTGCACAGCAGTCTGCCTGCTCTGGCCCCTGCCTCCCATACCTCACTGAACTCCATGAAGCTGGGATTTTTTAATTTATTAGTTATTAATTTATTTGTTATTCATGACATATTGTGTTTTGACATATCCTATATACATGGAGCATAACTTTCCATTCTTGTGGTTGTACATGATGTGGAGTTTCACTGGGTGAGTATTCATATAGAACCATAGAAAAGTTTTGTCCAGTTCATTCACTGTCTTTTTTATTCCCATTCCCCTCCCTTCCCTTCATTCCCCTTTGTCTAATCCAATGCTGGGACTTCTCATCCTCCCTTCCAGTGCTCTCAGGAAAGGAAAACTGCAGGATTGCTTGGTTGGGAATTCCAGCATCCTTAAATGGAGGCCAGGTTCTCCAAATCCACTGAAGATTGAATAAGACAAAATGTGACTTATATTTCAACTCCAGAAATGGACTTTGGTGCCAAGAAGCTCTTGGCCAAGGGAGGCTGTATGGGGTTCTTCCTTGGCTGGGTTGAGGACATCCACAATGGGGGAGGAGCAGGTGGCTTTTGCATCCAGGAAGCACAGGCCCTGTCTCCCCCTAACGCTACCCTCACCAGCTCCTGTCAGAAGGGCTCTGGGCACTTCTGTGGAAATAAGATGCATTTCCATTTCACTGAAATCATGATATTGCAAAATCAGCAGGAGTAGTTACAAGCCAAGAATAGCTCCCCATCCAGGGAAGGAAGGACTACAAGGCAAAATGAAGGTTCACTTGCCAAACTCACTGAGACTCAGTCAAGAAAAAAAAAAATCAAAAGGAGCCACTCAAAGCCCACAATGAGAGGATTACAAAAGTCTCCAGCATCATTTGATCAGCTCCATTTCCGATCTGGGCCGGTTCACCCCTCCTTAGGCAACCTGGTGGCCCCTCCGCTCCTAGGAGGTCACCATATTGATGCAGAACTCAGTGCTGACACCCGATCGGCATAGCTGCACTATAGCCCAGAACTCCTGGGCTCAAGGAATCCTCCTGCCTCAGCCTCCTGAGTAGCTGGGACTACAGGCTCGCACCACCACGACCGGCACTAGCATCATTTGAAACTCCACAATTAGTGCAAGCTATGAGGTTCCAACAGGGCCATGGGGGGAAGGGTGTGCTCAGTTCACTTTCATTATTGCAGCTAGAGAACTCTGGTCATCAGCCCCTGGGACTTAGAAGACAGTCTCATGCAGGTCCACCTCTAATGGATCATTTCTCTTTTTTCCAATCATTCATTTGTTTATTCATTTAACAAATACAATTTTTTTTTAGGATTTTCTGTATTTCTGGAAATATGCTAAGGGCTACAAAGGTGATCAAGTCCAATAGCATCTTTGTCTGCAGGGATCATGTGCCTTTAGGATTTGGGAAATTGCATGGCTCCAAACTTCAGCTCCATCAGGCATCCAGCAGCAGCAGCAACACCTTCCTAGGTCTCTCAGTGTTGCCAAGAGCTGGTTCACAGGAGATGACTGAGGGAAACTGCTCTGGAAAAGCTCTCTTGCAGGTCTACAAAAGTGAAAAGTATTGGAACTATTGCTCTAGCTGTGAGAACAATGGGCTAAGTCACCAGGGAGCTGACTTAGACCTCCTCCTCTTTGTTCCTTCACTTCCCCCTCCCCTTACTCAGCCTCCAAACAGAGACTTAGTCCAAAAAGAGCCATTCCAGGCTGATGATAAAGGGACAATGGGGTTTGGGGGTGGTCCTCTGGGTCCCCAGGCAGGAGGCCTCCATTCCAGCATGCCAAACAAACCAGGTTCTTTTGGAGCAAGTCAACAGCTGAACTATAGGCTATGAACAAAGAACTTGGCCAGTTTCTGTGTCCTTGCAGTGGATATGCACAGTTAACCACACCAGTGTCTAGTCCTGTCCCAGTTTTAGGGAAACCAGAAATCAAGAATCTTACTCCCAGAAAACTACAGGTAGTTGGAGAAGATTGGTTTCTGTCTGTGGTATTTTCTGGCTGATGGTGTAATACCATATAGGCCCATGGGCCCAAGTGTTGGCCTTACCTAGGTAATTTGTCAACACATAGATGCTCAACTTCCCCTAATTGAAATTCCAATTTTGAAGGGACAGGGATAAGGCCTAGGAAGTGAGTTGCATGCACCAGAGTTCAAGATCCTCATATATATATTGGACCATGTCTTGTGTGTTTTTATTATACATTCAAGACAGAGCATAGTACCTGGCACAGGACTGGCACTCAATAAATGTTTGTGGTTTGAATAAATGTATTTGATTTAAAGAAAAAAAAAACAATGGATGGCAAAAGAAAAAGACTTTTAGGCTGTGGAGGTTTTCTGGGATCCACTTGTACCTGATTGTCTTTCTGATTCTCAATTCTCTGAGTACAAAATCTAGGGACCTGGATTTGAGGGTTTTGTGCTTTCTGTTAGGTTTGTTCTGAATAAATAGAACTTTGCTCCCATTGGCATAAAGCAGAACTGATGTAAGAATGGTTTATCTTGTTTCTTCTCTCATCATTTTTTATTATTGTTGTTGCATTATTAGTAATAACAATAATAGTAAATGCATTTACTAGCATTATCTCATTTCCTCATTAGGGAATCTTATGAAAGAGATAGGAAATTATTATCCCCATTACAAATGAAAAAACTAATGCAGAGAGAGGTCATATATCTCATCTACCCTGCAATCACACAATTGGAAAATGGCAGGAAGAGACTTCAACCAGACTCCTACCTCAGAACCTAATGCTTTTAGCACTATCCCAAGCTTCCAAAAGAACCACTTCAAGTCTGCATCCAGCGACCCCTACATATGTCATTCCAAATGTGCAAAACAGAGTGACTGGAATCATTCACAGATCTTTGACAAAGGTGTGTTCCTTTATCAAAGACTCCCTTTTCACAAAAGCTTTTCATTTTTTGTATGATCATAAGAGGTTGAGTAAGACTGAAAATGTAAAGAATTACTCACTGCTAATTGACATGCAGGCAAATCATCTCTGAATTCATAATCTAAGTGGATAAAAAAAGGGAATTTGTTCTACAAAAACCTGGGTTAAGTGTGAATTTTATAGTGTGCCTACCACAGAAGCCAGGTGTGTGTGCATCCTCATACACCAGACTTCCAGAAGAAACCCTGTCCTGCATGGAAAATTGGCAGATAAGTTGCTTCTCTCTTTTGTTAAGCAAAGTCTTAGAATATCCCAGGGTCCCAGCATCTGTGTTCAGTCAGATCCTGGGCTCCTGTATTTTCAACTAGGCAACTCGAGTTGTAAGAAGTTTTCAATGGAGTCCAACAAAATCATGGCTTCAGGATGGATCTAGACAATGCCCAAAGACTGAAAAGTGATAACAATGTTCTGAACATTTTAAATATAGATTTTTTTAAAAAAAATCATTCATTTCAAATACAAAGATAATAACTGAATATTTAGCTCAATCCATGAATTTTCTTAACTCCTAGATTAGATCATTTTGATCTGCCTGGTCAGTTAATTCATCCTAAAATCAGTTGGAGTAAATAGCCCATCAATTCAGTTTAGCATCTTGTGTTTCAATGAATGGAGCAACTGATAAAATAGACCAACAATCTTAACAATGTCTTTGGATCTTAGAAAAATGAGGTGATAAGGAGGAAGTAACCAGCTTCCCAAAGTGGGATCACCTGCTATAAGACAAAAGCAGATACGAGCAGCATAAAGTGTCCTTTATTCTCTGTGGGAGTTCCCAGGACTCGGATAAATGGACAGTTTTGTCCCCAGAGAATCTGGTTGCCTATGGAGCAGCCTGGTTCCTCACCAGCTCTCCCCGTCCACCAGCCCCCAGTCCTCAGGCCTCCTGGTCCCTGTCAGCTCTAACAGGGGGTGGGGATTGGTTAGGCCATTCATTGGTTCTGAAGTTTCTTCTACTTAAACCAATTTGTTAGGTGCTTCATGATTTACAGCCACAGTGGAAAATGGGGCTGGGTATTGATTCTTGGCCTTTTCTATTGCAAATGGGTGTAATGTTTTATAGTATGTCAGAATAATGGCAGTGGGCACTCTATCAATGTCAAATGTTAAAAATGATCAGCTATTGTGATGTAGGAGATTAAATATGAAAGCTTGATGGGTATATAAAAGCGAAATGGCAATAATAAAGGGATTTTTATGTTCGGCTCATTGCTCTCTGGAATCCACCTGGGGAGCTATTAGAGCCAATTGTGCTGATCAGTGACATATCACCATGGGTTAAAGGACGGGACAGGTGTGCCTCTCCCCAGGTGCTGTTTGGCCTGGCAAGATAGAATGGGAGACCAAGGTGGAGAGGTCAGTGTTCACAGGGTCGGACCTTCGAGAACTATCTCTGAGGATGACTAAGAGGAGAAGACACAGAGCAACTGAGAGTCTATCAGAAACGCCAGGGGTCCCTGTCACCCTGCTTCTCTCTTGCCATGATGGCTCCATCATTAAAGCCAGCAGAGGAAATTGGCTTCCTGCTTTGAGATGTCCAGAGAAATGTCAGTCCTGTTCTATAAACTAGGTCAGATCTCATTGGTCATCTTGTACAGTTAAACTTCTCGGGAAGTTGAGGCTCAGAGGGGTAAAGAGGCATGGCCAGGGTCACTCAGCCAGTGAGTGGCAGAGCTGGACCAAACCTAGATCAAGCTAGAACTCTTTCCACAACCTGTCTTCGGCTACCCTAGGAATTCAAAATTGTCATAATCTTCTAAATCAGTGCTGGCCAATGGAAAAAAATGAGAGCCACCTATATAGTTTTAAAACGTTCCCATAGTCACACTTTAAAAAGTAAAAGAAATGGGTTAAACTCATTTTAATAATATATCTTATTTGAGCTAAAATATTATCCTTTTGACATATAATCAATATAAAAATTATTGAGGCATTTTATGTTCTCTGTTTCATACAGTTTTGAGATATGTTTTCTATGTACAGCACAACTCACAGTAGATGAGTTACCTTCCAAAGGCTCAGTAGCCATGTGGCTAGTGGCTACCAAATTGTAAGCATAGTTCCACACGCATACATATGGGGGTTCATCCCCCAGAGAGATGTTCAGGGTGCGGGGAGGGCATGTGCACCTTGAGAAAGCAAATACAGACTACACTGTGCTTAGACAACTGGTGTATAAACACCAACTCAAGCCTGTAAACCTGGAAAAATCTTAGGACACACTGAAGACAAGCTGCCAGGTATATATGAGGGCTTCTCAATGAGGTGGAAAGTGGATGAGAATTTCTGGAAGTTTTAAAGAGTCTTTTTTTTTTTCTGAATGTTTACTAAAAATGAGCAAGATTTTATGTAGACTGAGGAATATACTAGTCGTTTGGGGGAAGAACAGCTCCTCAGATGAAGTTATTGTTGTCATAATATAAATGACCAAACTCATTTTCTGTGAAAAGAAGAGAGAGCGTGAACTACACAGCCTTACACGGAGGTTAAATTAAGTCTTAAACTTTATGTAGGACAACAGTTAACCCTTGAGGCATTGAGGAGCCTGAGTTGTTAACGTCTCTCTCTCAAACACACCAGCCACGGGCGACCTTGCTGACCGTGACATTTGCACAGGGGTCTGCCTATGCCCTGACATATTCACTGGACCCACCAAAGGTCGGGGGAAGAGAAGTCATGGCCACCAGCTCCCAGCTGGTGCTCTGGCTCATCTGGCCCTGAAGGTCACCCTGAACCTCTTGGTCAATGAGTAAAAGGAGGCAGAGCTGGGGAAGAGCGGGGTTCAGGGTGCAGTGCAGCGATCTCAGCGTTGCCATTTCCAGAGCAAGCCGACCG